GTCCAGCCCCCTACCCAAGGCAGGATCAATCCCAACTAAATCAACCCAGCCACGGCTTTGTCAAGCCAAGACTTAAAAACCTCTAAGGATAGAGATTCCACCACCTCCCTAGGTAGCCTATTCCAGTACTTCACCACCCTCCTAGTGAAATAGTTTTTCCTAATATCCAACCTAGACCTCTCCCACTGTAACTTGAGACCATTGCTCCTTGTTCTGCCATCCGTCACTACTGTGAACAGCCTCTCTCCATCCTCTTTGGAACCTCCCTTCAGGAAGTTGAAGGCTGTTATCAAATCCCCTCTCACTCTTCTCTTCTGTAGACTAAGGAAACCCAAATTCCTCAGTCTCTCCTCAGAGGTCATGCGTTCCAGCCCCCTAATAATTCTGGTCACCCTCCGCTGGACCCTCTCCTATGCATCCACATCCTTTCTATAGTGGGGGGCCCAGAACTGGACAATACTCCAGATGTGGCCTCACCAGAGCCTAATGAAGGGGAATAATCACTTCTCTGGATCTGCTAGCAATGCTCCTCCTAATGCACCCTATTATGCCATTTACCTTCTTGGCTACAAGGGCACACTGAAGATTCATATCCAGCTTCTCATCCACTGTAATCCCCAGGTCCTTTTCTGCAGAACTGCTACTTAACCATTTGGTCCCCAGCATGTAACAATGCTTGGGAGTCTTCCATCCCAAGGGGAGGACTCTACACTTGTCCTTGTTGAACCTCATCAGATTTCTTTTGGCCCAATCCTCTAATCTGTCTAGGTCACTCTGGACCCTATTCCTGGCCCTCCAGCATATCTACCTCTCCCCCTAGCTTAGTGTCATCTGTGAAGTTGCAGAGGGTACAATCCATCCCCTCATCCAGGTCATTAATAAAGATGTTCAACAAAATCGGTCCTTGGGGCACTCTGTTAGAAACTGACCGCCAACCTGACATCGATCTGTTGATCACTATCTGTTGGGCCCGACAGTCTAACCAGCTTTCTATCCATCTTACAGTCCATGTATCCAATCCATACTCCCTTAACTTGCTGGCAAGAATATTGTGGAAGACCGTATCAAAAGCTTTGCTAAAGTCAAGGTATATCACGTCCACTGACTTTCCCATATCCACAGAGCCAGTTACCTCATCATAGAAGCTAATCAGATTGGTCAAGCACGACTTGCCCTTTGTGGATCCATGTTGACTATTCATGACCGCTTTCCTCTCTTCCAAGTGCCTCAAAATGGATTCCTTTAGGATCCCCTCCATGATTTTTCCGGGCACTGAAGTAAGGCTGACTGGTCTGTAGTTCCATGGATTGTCCTTCTTCCCTTTCAAAAAGATGGGCACTACATTTGCCTTTTTCCAGTCATCCGGGATGTCTCCTCATCTCCACGACCTTTCAAAGATAACGGCCAAAGGCTCCACCATGACATTTGCCAACTCCCTCCCTCAGTATTCTCGGATGCATTAAATCAGGGACGATGGATTTGTGTGTGTTTAGCTTTTCTAAATAGTTCATAACTTGTTCTTTCCCCACCAAGGGTTGTCCTCCTCTATCCCATACTACGTTGCCTAGTGCATTTATCTGGGAGCTGACCTTGTCCGTGAAGAGAGAGGCAAAGAAAGCATTGAGTACTTTAGCTTTTCCCACATCATCTGTCACTAGGTTACCACCCTCATCCAGCAAGGGTCCCATACCCTCTCTGATCACCCTCTTATTGCTAACATTCCTGTAGAAACCTCTCTTGTAATCCTTCACATCCCTTGCTAGCTGCAATTCCAATTGTGCTTTCACCTTCCTGATAACTCCCCTGAATTCACTATATTTATACTCTTCCCTAGTCATCTGTCCAAGTTTCCACTTCTTGTAAGTTTCCTTTTTGTGTTTGGCTTCCCAAGGACATCCTTGGTGAGCTTAATCTGGTCACCTACCATATTTGCTTCTTGCTGCGCATCGGGATGGTTTCTTCCTGTGCCTTTAATAAAGCTTCTTTAAAATACTGCCTGCTGTCCTGGACTCCTTTCCCCTTCACGTAAGCATCCCAAGGAATCCTCCCTATCAGTTCTCTGGTCGAGTCAAAGTCTGCTTTTCTGAAATCCAGAGTGTGTATTTTGCTGCTCTCCTTCCTGTGGTCAGGATTCTGAAATCTACTCTCTCATGATCACTACTTCCCAGGTTGTCACCTACCTCTACTTCCCCTACTAGTTCCTCCCTTTTTTTGAGCAGCAGGTCAAGCTGCACATGGCCCCTGGTCGGTTCCTTCAGCACTTGTACTAAGAAGTTATCCCCAACATTCTCCAAAAACTTCCTAGATTGTCTGGGTACTTCTGTATTGGTCTCCCAACACATGTCAGGGTGATTAAAGTCCCCCATGAGAACCAAGGCCTGGGATTTGGAAGCTTCTCAGTTGTCTGAAGAAAGCCTCATCTCTCTCATCCACCTGATCCAGTGGTGTATAGCAGACACCAGCTACAACATCACGCCTGTTGTTACCACCTCTAAATTTAACCCACAGACTCCCAACAGTCTTTTCTCCCTCTAAATACTGGAGCTCCGAGCAATCATACTGCTCTCTTACATACAACGCAACTCCTCCTCCTTTTCTCCTCACCTGTTCTTCCTGAACAGTTTATACCCTTCCATGACAGTGCTCCAGTCATCAGAGTCATCCCACCAAGTCTCCGTTATTCCAAATCAAATCATAGTTCTTTGATTGGGCCAGGGCTTCTAATTCTTTCTGTTTCCCAGGCTTTTTGCATTTATGTACCAACATCTTAGATAGCCAGTTGATCGCCCTACCTTCTCCATTCGAGTCAGAGGTCTTCCTTGTTGTTTGTTCCTCCTTGTGTTCCTTCCCGGTATCCAACTTCCTCACTTAACTCAGGGCTTTGGTCACCGTGCTAGTTTAAAGCCCTTCCTCGCTATGTTTGTAAGCCTGCCAGCAAAGATGCTCTTTCCCCTTTTGATTAGGTGGATCCCATCTCTTCATAACAATCCTTGTGCCTGGAACAGAGTCCCATGGTCGAAGAAACCCTCTCTCCGACATCACCTGCGCAACCACGCATTTACTTTGTCAATTCGATGATTCCTACCTGGACCTTGTCCTTCAATTGGAAGGATAGACGAAAACACCACTTGCGCTTCTAATTCCTTGATCCTTTTTCCCAGCGCTACATAATCTGCTGTGTCCCGCTCAAGATCATTCTTGGCTCTATCATTAGTTCCTAAATGGAGAAGCAGGAAGGGGTAGTGACCTGAAGGTTTAATCTCTTTTGGAAGACTCTTGGTCACGTCCTGAATGAGAGCTTCCGGTAAGCAGCACACTTCGAGATTGCAGGTCTGGACAGCAGATGGATGACTCAGTCCCACATAGGAGGGAGTCCCCAACCACCACCACTTGTCGTCTTCTTTGTAGGTAATGATCATGGAACCCCGATCCCTAGGACTATGCAATCCCATGCCTTCCAGTAGATGTGTTCCCTTCTGATTTCTTCTCTGAGAGGTCCCTGCCAGAGCATTCTCCACTGCAGTGCAGTGCCTGTGGAGGGAGCCTGAAAGCAGTTACTTACCTCTACATAAATGGGGGATACCTGAGTTGGCCTCCTTCTTCTAGAGATTACATGCTGCCATTCTTCCTTTTCCTGTACTGCCCTGACTGGCTCTTCAGCCTGCTGTGCCTGCTGGATTAAACACTGCCTTCTATCAAGGAAGTCTTTATCCTCTCCGATGGAACATAGGATTGATACTTGGGCCTCAAGTCCTCTAATTTTTTCTTCCAAAATGGTGACTATCTTGCACTTAGTGCAGATGAAATCCCTTCTTTCTTCCAGGAGGAAGACAAACATGGCACAACAGCAGACCTATCAATATCCATACCTGTGTTCCTCCTGAGAGATTCCTCAGTTATTAAATGCCTCCTTGAAGGGCAGGAGTGTAGTGTAAGATTTTAAAGAATGGAGACTGTATCTCACCCCCTTCCCAAATCCCTCTCCAAACTCCCTGTTAGCAGTCCCTGGTCGCTGACTCACTCCTTTATAAAGCCCTGGCCTGCTTGATAGCCCCTCCCCCTGATTACAGCTCAACCAATGAGCAGAGGCTTCTAGATTTCAAACCCTCATTAGAAGCTCACAGCTTCCCCCTGCCAGCCACAGCACACACTCAGAGGGGGGGGGCAAGAGGAAGAGTGGGAAAAAACCCCCCACAAAAGCCCAGACAAACACCAACTCAGCACACAGCAAGAAACCCCCAAACACAAACTACAGACAGCCATTTCCCTCAAGGGTCCTGTATTAGGTTCTTCTCCACCTGGAGAACTCCCTCTCCAAACTCCCTGTTAGCAGTCCCTGGTCGCTGACTCACTCCTTTATAAAGCCCTGGACTGCCTGATAGCCCCTCCCCTGATAGACTCCCTACTGACCCTGCGCTCCATGCGGGCGCTTCTGCTTTGAAACACACAAGAGCCCCAGGGAAACTCTTGTACATTTCAAAGTTGGAACACTGCCGCTGCACCCTTGTCCACTCCCATAGAGCTGTAGCTGGGGGGACCGGTTTTTAAGCTGGCTCCCCCAAGCAGCCTCTCTTCTTTCCTCCTCCCCCTTGCTGCTGCTTTGTGATACAGGCAGCAAGGGCGGGGGGAGGAAACAACTAGTTGACTAGTGTGGACTATCCGATAAGCTTTTGCTTATCGGACAATCTACTAGTCAATTAGCCACTTACATCCAAAGTACATATAGTAGCTAGATTTACAAATGATTTAATTAATAAGCACTGGAAGAAATGGTAGGATCGATTGAAGTGTAATAAGATGCATAAAACATTGTCCATCTTCAATGGTAATTAAGGCATCCTATGTTTCTAAAAAGGTTCTGTGAGAAACAACACATTAACAGACAAAACAGCTTCAGGGACTGAAGATGGCATTAAAAAGTGCCTAGGATTAAGCTACACACAACACAGAACAAAGTTCTAAACACATAAGGATGGAGTCGCGGATTATCACAGTCCAACCTGTTTGCATTGGCTTGTTTAGACACCTCCTTCAATCTTTTGATTTTTTTTCTAATTGCATCAGCATCTGGTAAATGGTGATGACCATCAGGCCCATTAGGAAATCCTGGACGTACTCCAGGTGGAAATCCTCTGTAGATAAATATGTACAGTAACTTTCATTACTTTCATAAAGCAGAGCACATGCACCTCTAATGGAAGGTAGTCATACCTTTCAATAGGTTCCCGACTTTGTATTTCTGCCCTCCATCTGGTTTCTCTCTCCTCACCTACTTTAATATTTTCCTTTTGCTGTTGCATCTGGTCAAAGATAGCATGGTAGTGTTCATACTGTCCTCTGGCAGGCACAGGAGAAGGCACAACACCTCCTCCACCACCAAAAAACGGTGCCTGGGAATTAAAAAAAGAACTTTCAAATCCTTGCGCTGATAAACCCTTGCAGCGTCCAATAAAACAATAGATGATCATTTATTCAGGAAGTTTAATATGCACCTGTTTTAACAGAGTAGAAGAATTTAAACTGTTATGCTCATATTACATTCATATTTTAGTTTTGTACTCTACGAGCAGTGATATTTGTGTGCTATATTTATATCACACCAATATTACTGACTGTCTTATAAAAAAAGAAATTATCCCTTTTCAAAATTGATAAAATACCACACTGAAAACTAAAATTTATCACAGTGAAGAAACTGAATCAAGGTAAAGAGACAGATAGTGATATCATCAAATAAGAGATTGGTAAAAATTCATCTCACACGTGCCTTTTTCTTAAAATAAATCCTGTTTTTCACTACAGTCTTCAGTAGTGGTTCAATCCCACACATATGCTGAAAGTTTCGTGTGTCACAAACACCAGTAATTTTATTGTGGATAAAGTAGCTAGTATCTCAGAATAATGTGAATTATTTCCTGCAATTACTGGACAAAAATGGTCCACTTCCATTACAATTAATATGCCAGTTAAAGATATCTTCAGAGTTCTTCCTATAAAGAATACACCTGAGTAGCTTTAAACTTGCAGATCATAACTAAAACTGGCAGTAGTTTTCAATATTCCTTTGAGATTCATGAAGATTCCTCCAAATTCATCTTACATGCTCTCCAATATTACTTCTGTCCTTTGCACTGCACAGAAACAGCTCTTGCCAAAGTCTCTAATGAACTTGATTTAGGTAACAGTCAAAACCAGAACTCCAGCCTCATTCTCAAGTCTGTCAAGCCGCCTCTAATAGTTGACCACGCTTAGGGCTCTCAAAACTTGTTTATCATCTCTCCACATTCAAGTCTTACCAGCTAATTCCTGTTTTGAACTCTGCAGATGCTGTCACCACCTTCTTGCCTTCTGCTCATGCCTATTACCTGTACTTCATCTTTAACTCAAAATCCTCTATAGATTGTCACCCAGGCTGTGTCTGTCTTTCATATTGTTTCTTCAGAACACCTCTAAAATGTAGCCTTTCCGATCCATCTACACAACTAAAATGGTCATCCCACCTCATCTCATATTTCAACTACAGAAACATCCTGTTTTTGACAAATGGAATCCTGCCCCTTTCAGAATATCACTTGAAAGATCATCTTCCTAGCCCTTCATTTTGACCACATCACCTATCTCTGTATCTCTCCACTGTCTCTCCCAAGACCTTCAACCATCATATTAAGTCTGATACTGCTGCATCTGTCCTGATAGCAAGATTACCAAAGTGGATGATGGAACTGACACTCTTCTTGGATATCCTAATATGTTCCTGGATTGGTAAAATGATATTTGCTGATACAATATAAGCAATATGCACTCTTCCTATATCTGGAGAAAAAGAAAGAAGAAATTTCTTCGAAAAATCTGGTATATATCTACCTACTCATCTGAATGGATGTTGGGACTTTCATTTTAGCACTGAACAGATTTTGTACATCAGAGGGGTAACTGATTTTCCTTAGACAAGCAACACTGATGCTGACAACTATGACTTACTTTTCTTAGCTGCAGCCATTAAATGGACATGTCTATCGGCTGCATCCAGCCTGAAAAGTTTCAACAATGAATACGCCTTCACACGTCAATATAGCTTCAGTCTAAATTCTAAGGGCAGGTTTTTTCCCCAAAAATCAGCAAACTTGTTCCCTTCAATGGGACAGTCACTTTTTTTTTTATTTCCAAAAGGTATTTAGTCTTACTGATTCTCTGTGGGAGTTCACTTTGTTTCAGCAAAAAAGACAAGGAGTTCGGTGGCACTTTAAAGACTAACACATTTATTAGGATATTAGAGCATAAGCTTTTGTGAGCTACCACTCGCTTAACATAGCAGCCTTTCTGAACCCTATTTGTTTAAATTTTATTTTGACAACCTAAACAAATGAAAATGCAGTTGGATGACCATAAAGGCACTCAAAACATATGGCCAGCACTTGATATCTACCAGCAGTGTGTTTTGAAGTAGTTGCAACCAAGTCAGCAGTACTTAAAGGTCTTTCACAGATCTTAAAATTTCTTCATTTATAGGAAGAGCAACTCTGTTATATGCCAGTTGTAAAGTATCAAAAAACAGTTTATATACCTTCTCCTATACCAATGGGACTCTCAGCATTTGTGATGTTTCAATACTTTTTGAAAGATTTTTAAATAATCATTGCCATAGCAACAGTCTTAATCCGCTGAACAAGGAGAAACACATGCAAGTCCAGATTAATCATCTTGAAGAACCAGAGTTTTCTTATCACAGGAGTTCTATTGTTCTTCTATTTTCATAACCAAATGTTTCATAATTCTCATGTTTTGGAGTAAGTGATTTACAGTAATTTGCCACATCTTGGGGTGGGGGAGGCGGATATTTGTCCTAAGTACTATGGATATTGAGCTCCAGGTGGCCCAAATGGTTATTTTTGTAGACCAAATGGATAAGACTTTCACTCAATTCATAGGAAACCAAGAAAAATGAGATTAATTTGTACTTTCTTGGGTCTTTGTCATTGTTTTCCTCTTACATAAAAGGGCTCCTGAAGGACTATGAAGATGAAATCGAGTCACGAGACAAAATCCCCTCCACTGACGGGGGTAACAATTTAAGAGTTGAATATCTGAGTAAGACCTTCTGTTCTCAGTCTTACTGTCACATTGCTAGAGATAAACTTTTAGTATCAGTACCTGAGATCTTTCTCAGAAAGATTTTGGTGGCACATAAATAGGCAAAGTCTCTATTAATGGAAACGCTGAGATGAAATTAAGATCCAAAAATGACACACAATTCTTTCAGAGCTATGAAGCTCCTCATTAAGGGAATCTGGGCTGATGGATCTGGAGCCTCCTCTAACTGCTCTGAAGGTGCTACTGAAGATCTAATTGACAGCAACAAACGTGAAGCTTATATGTGAGATGGTGCCAGAATAAACCATGACTGACGTACCAGTGCCAACACAGCCAGTGACAGTAGCTCCTTTGTCACAGGCTTAGCCCAGTTATCTTTCCACTCCTTATGTGGGGGTGGCACTCAAGCTCAGGAACTCAGTGGCATCAGTGACTACATTATAACATAAAAATATAAGAACAGCCAAAGTGGGCAAAACCAATAGTCTATTTAGCCTAGTATCCGGTCTTTCAACAGCGGCTACTGATAAATCTTTCAGAGTAAATTAAACAGGACAACTTCAAGGGATCCCTAATCATCCTGGCTAATAGCCATGAAATGATCTAATTCTTTTTTGAACCTCATCATAGTTTTGGCCTTCACAACACTCCCTGGCAATGAGTTCCACAGGCTATGTATTGTATGAAATACTATTTCCTTTTGTTTGTTTTAAATGTGCCACATATTAATATTTCATCGTGTGACCTCTAGTTCTTGTATTATGTTGAGGAATATAAAACACTTTTCTATTCACTTTCCTATCATTCAGGATTTTAGAGGCATCTGTCATGTCCTTCTTAGTTTTATCTTTACAAAATTGAACAGTCTGTATCCTTCTAAATTCTCATCATAGGGAAGCTGTTCCATACTTCTAACACCTTTTTTTTTTTTAAACTCTTCTCAGCACCTTTTCCAATTCTGAAGTATTTTTTTACATGAGGTATCCACAACTGCATGCAGTATTGCAGGTATGGATATATCATTGATTTATATAATGGCATTATTTTTCTCTTTTCCCTTTCTTAATGATTCCTAACATCAGTAGCTTTTTTCCCTGATGCTGCTCATTATGCAGATATTTTCAGACAACAATCCATAAGGACTTCAAGATTTCTTGCTTAAGTGGTAACTGCTAATTTAGAACTTATTTTTGGACGTATATTTTCAACTTTCTACTTAAGGTGGTTGGAAAGAATTGATTCACCACATATTTTAGGTTGCTGGGAGGGAGAGGAAGCAAAAAGGCACAAACAGCACATGTGCAACATCTGCTCTATATTGTTACAGATTGAACCTCTACAGTCCAGCACTCTCTGGTCCGGCAACATAAACGATCCCGCATGGTCTGTGCTGTTATTTAGCTTTAATTTAAATTATTCTAAAACCCCAGCACACAGTGGAAACATTGGTAATGCTGTTTGACAATAATGACCTCCTGTAGTCCAGCAATTTATCTGGTTTGGCACTGCTCAGGTCCCGAAGGTACCAGACTAGAAAGATTCAACCTGTAGTGAAAATATTCTGAATTGCAGTGCTGGGGTGCCCACATACCATGAGTAGAACATATATTTACAGTATTCAAAAACCAAAAAGTTGTATTCCAATTCAATTACAAATAGATGGGGAAAGACTTAATTCAAGTTTGGTAACAGATGTGCAGTTTCTACAGCTTCACAGCATTATCACAGACTATTTAAGTAGCTGAAGTTTCAGAAAATTTCAGTGCTAATGAAAACCATACACTGTAGAAACCCTGCTCAATTGGCTGTTATGACAGAAAAGCTCCTGTAACATATGTAGCAGAGTATGACTGAGATTAACACTGCGTAATATTCCTGTAAATTCTATCATCCAGACTCCAGCACAAATGAAAAAAATTAGCTGAACTTTTGCAGAAGGTAGTGGATGTCTACTCGAGAATTTTATCCAAGAATAATGAGTTTGTGACTACAGTGCCAGTAATGAAGAAAAACAAGGTCATCAGATGCTATGAGAATTTCAAAATATCCATACATTTGCATCATTAGCTGGGGGTAAGGCATTGTCCCACGCTACTTACAACAAATGGAAACAAGACAGTGATAATAAGTACTTCACAATTAGCACATGTGAAAGGATTATTTCAATTCACATTTTTGGTCATGACAGCACTAGGGATGTTAATGGTTAACTGGTAAGCCTGACCCTTAATGAGCGAAAGTTATGGGTTATGGTTAACCGGTAGGGATGGAGTAGCCTCTCTTACAAGCAGAGGGCTGCTCCAACCCAGCCAGTTTAATCAGTTAACTGGTTCAACTTAACCAGTTAACTATTCAAAAATGATTTTACATCCCTAAATAGCACTTAGCTGACAGTGAGCTACGGGCCAGATATTACAAGATTTTCCTGGCACTTACTGACTGATATCATCCAAGTGACAAAAGAGCTACAAATGAAGCACACACAGAGAACCTCCAAAAAAGGAATGTACAAAGTTGTCAAAATATGGTTCTACAGCAAACAAGAAAAAGACTCAATTACTTAGTGTCCTATAACTCAAGGAGGTTTTTGTGATTTATGCCAACCAAATCCTGAGGCAGTGAAGCCGGGCCAGGAAGGCTTTGCTGCAAGCTCTACAGCATAAAGCTTATTTAAGCTTTATGTTGCAGAGCCCAATGTGTCACCACTGACATTTTCAGCAGTTACACAGTTACCTATATAACTGATTTTAACATATCTAATGCAAACATACTTCTGTTTACAGATTTCTTTGCTTGAAAAGAACATTTACTTGTATGTCAAGATCACTTAATGTGAGGCACAAGAGTTTCTTATAGTAAGTTCAGATCACTCTTATGCAAAAAATTACATTAGGGCTATTTGAGAATTGTAGAAAAGAAAACTCTTGTCAGGTTTTGCAGTTGCCACACACCAATATAAAAAGTGGATTTGGCAAAACTGAAAATTGGTGTCACAAAGTTGTCAGCATATGTGTAAATATGCCCCCTTTGCATCTTTAGTGGGTGCGACCAAATAGTCCACAACAGTGAACCGAATTATACTATGCTGGAGAACTTATGGAATGTATGTTTTTGACTGCAGATGCCAATTTTAAATGGCTTGAAGTATCTGATATTAATTAATCTAGTTCAGTGTACACATGACAATGTAATTATTGTTCTCAAGGGCAAGAGTTCCTGAACAGTTAGAAATTGACAATGCAACTCAATTCACACAAATTTAAGTCGCTTAAAAAAAAAACCCATTATATTACAGTTACTACCACAAATGGATTTGCAGAAAGATTTATCCAAATACTCAAGCAAGTGATACGTGTTATAGCTCTGAATAAAAGCAGTTTACAACAGAAGATTTCAAATCTTCTCTTGGCTTCTAGAAAGGAAGTGCATGACAGTAGAAATGAGATGCCAACATTGTTTGAAGAATGCCATTCAAGGCTTCATTTGGGCACAAACTTGATCTACAGAACAATATTCTTAAGTAACAATGATCAAAAGCCAAATGTGCGCATACAGATTAACAGTTTTAATGTGGAAAAATGTCTTATTGAGAGATGACTAAGATAATTCATGGAAATCCAGAGTGATCACTCTGGTCCTCTGTTTTATTGGAGGTCAGTGCCAAACATGTCAACCAGCTTTCAGGATGTCTGACACCAACGATGCCTACTGCGAGTACCAAGCCTACAATGCAAATAACTCATGATGTATCAGTGACTTGACCACTACAAAGCAAGATATTTCTGATTCACCTACATGATAGTACAGACACTGATATAATGTCCATGATATATTATCTACTCAGAAGTTGCAAACCACCTCTTGGACTTAATTTGTAACATGTTGTATATGTAAACAGTACTTTTAAGAATACTAGATTTGTAACTTTATGTCCCTTTACATTTAATTGTTGAGGAATATGTATTGTAATGAAAAACTGCAGTATTTCTTTAAATAATTTGTAAGCCAGTGCTAACAATTTATTAGGTTTGGCAAGAGACCAGCAATCAGAATAGCAACAGGTATACAGATACTAGCCCTTGCATGTTAGTATTCAGTAAGTAAACAGTCATGTTGTATGCAGATGTGTCTATGCAGTTTCCTCACACTTTTATTCTATAACAAAGAGAACACAAAAACCCTGATGACTCTGATCCATTCATGTGTCTCATATGTAGAAGTGAAGTCTGATGTCAATGAGTAGTCTACTAGAAGTTTAACCAATAAACCTTGGTTTACCAGTTCATCTAGTCAACTACTCACATTCCCCCATCCTCGCAGCTTCTGTATCAAAGGCAGTGGAACAGGAGCTGTGCTGGGGTGATCCAGCTTAAAAGCTGGTTTTCTCTAGAACCGGCTCTGCATGGATACAGAGGCAGCAGTGCGGGCTGACAGGGTGCTCCCCAGTAGTGGAGTTGGAGTGCACTGGCTACTGACCCCACCTCCGGAACTAGTTGACTCACGGCTAAGAATTGTTGACTGACCACTAAGAATTCATGCATCTAGTTGACCATTCTATTACCCGCTATCTAATAACTCTAACTGTAACTAGAAGAAAATACAAACCTTCATTTGTTTAGTTATATAAGTTTTCATTAATGCCTTTTAAGGAGGTTAAAATGCAGGTAATTGGGTAAATGCGTAACCGCTAAAACTCTCAGCAATTCGACTATTACCTGCTCATGCAGCATGGGGATGTTAGGAGTAGTCGACTACCTGATAAGATAAGATAAGCTTATCAGGTAGTTGATTCAATTACTCCTCCCCTTCTCCCCCCGCACCCTCCACTGCCTCGGTTTAAGAGGCAGCAGGGGAAGGGGGAGAAACAGAAGCCAGTGCTGGGGAGAGACAGCTTAAAAGCTGGTTCCATCCAGCACTGCCTGCCCCCACAGGAGCAGCGAGAGGAGGGAAGGAGTAATGGCTATTCCGGCAGCAGCCTCTGTCCCCGGTGGCCGGGGCTGGCCACAAACAAGGGCTGCAGGACCTAGCATGAGCCTGGCATTTAAAATGCAGAGCCACAGCGGTCCTGGCTCTATCCCGGCTCATGCCAGTTCGGGATCTACCTCCACTGGGGCTCTGCAGTTTAACGCAAAATGAGCTGGGCTGCTTGCACTCCAAGCTTGTGCTATACTTAAACTGCAGAGCCACAGCTCTGGACCGGAACAAGTTGGGACAGAGCACCTTCTCTTATCAACTAATCATGCAGTCGATAAAAATTGTATTGACTACACAATTAGTTAATTACCATCCTCTTAACATCCTTAGCATGCACCGGCTGCCCAGGAACAGGATGGGAGCATGCATGTAACCCATATAGCCCAGGCTTAATGTTTAACTATTTATACGTTTATACTTTCATATCCTTTTTTATATAATCAAAACAAATATAAAATGAGCACTGATATTTTGTATTGTAATTAAATCAATATATTTGGACATGTAGAAAATATCCAAAAATACTTAACTAAATGGTATTCTATTGTTTAGTATTGTGATTAATTGCACAATTAATTTGCTTGATGGCCCTCCCCCACCCCACAAATCCAAACAGGATGGCCCGTTACCAGATCTTAACCATCTCCAAAGGTCTAGGGTTGGTTTTTTTTTTTTTAAGATTTTAATAGTAGCTACAATAGCAGCTCCAGCTCATCTCAGCCAACTTTTTCTCTTTTACATCCCAAAACAGTTATTGTCATCTTTAATGCCACCTAAAAAACAGAGGGAGGAGGGTGGGGAACCCCAAACCTCTCTTCTAAAACTCCAGTACCAAAAAAGCCTTATTAAATATGTGACATTTCAATTGTTTTACTAATTGTTTCTCTGCTACATCTTCAATAAAAACTCAAGTATTTAATACTGTATTTGCCATAATACAATCTATAGCCCCTGAATACCCAATCCCAAACACTGTTTTTATTAAACAACTACAGTAAAACTCCAGTTGTTTGGCATCCAGTGGCACTCCCGATAGTCTGGCACCAGCTAGAACCCGGAAGTGCTCTGGCCAGCCGGACAATTGGAGCTGCTCTGCCCCAGGCTTCCCCAAGTCCAAAGCTGGTCAGTTTCAGCAGCGGGGGACTTGGGGAAGCCGGGGGCAGAGCAGCTGGGGTGCTGCCGGGTTGGTCCTGCAGCACCGTTCAGGTGAGGCTTCCCCAAGTCCAAAGCTGGTCAGTTTCAGCAGCGCTGGACTTGGGGAAGCCTCACCTGAACGGTGCTGCAGGACCAACCCGGCAGCACCCCAGCTGCTCTGCCCCCGGCTTCCCCAAGTCCCCCGCTGCTGAAACTGACCACCAGCAGACTTAGGGAAGCTGGGGCCAGAGCAGCTGGAGTGCTACCCACGCTGCACCGTTCCTTGCCGACCCCCCTCTCCTCCCCAGACCTCTCATAGCCCCCTTCCAGTACTCCAGCATAGCCAATTATCCGGCACCCCCGGGTCCCAAAGGTGCTGGATTATCGGAAGATTACTAGACATTTATCTATCATCTTTAGCCCCTAAATTCCATCTCAATTAACAGAACAGACCTCACCTCTTTCAGAACTAATGCAAAACTTCACTCTTCAACCTTAACTTTCTATCTGCAAGTTAAGAACATGAACTCTTGCTACTGATAAATTAGCCAAATTATTCTTCTAGAGCCTCAAAAGGAAGAAAGGAAAAATATAAATCTCTCAGAGGGCAGGAGTTCACATACTATGCTGCTAGAAAACAAAAATACCTAGACAGGAAATTTTAAAGAGATATTTGAATGAAGAGAAGGTTGCTCCACGTACAAGTTTGCTTGAAAACAAAAATACCTAGACAGGAAATTTTAAAAAGATATTTGAATGAAGAGAAGGTTGTTCCACGTACAGGTTAAGTATAGAAAAAGGAGAAGGAAGAAAAAGTAGGTATGTGAGGGCTGAAAATATTGGCAGAATGAAAGAAGACACAAAAGTTTGATAGAACACGTCTGAAATCAGAAAAGTGTACTCAAACTCCAAGAAGCTTGCGGAATGAAAGGGGCCATTATTCAGTATCTCTGAGACTGTCCATAGTTTAGTACTTGAAGCAACTAAACATGTAGATAGGCATCTATCTGCTCTGCAGAAAAGAAAATGCCATGGAAGATAAATCAAAAGAACAAAATGGCTGTATTTCAGCATCTGCTGCCAACCTTAACTTCACCACTTCCACCTATATTAAGCACATTTCTCCAGCCTTGTTCCCTGGCTCTGTTTATCCGTTCCATCTGGAGAAGACAAAAAGGAAAGTAAGAATTCAATAATTCAATTTTCTATTAAAAAATTCAATTACACACTTGAAAAGAAAAATCAAAAGTATTTTACCCTTTCCTTCTCTAGTCTTCTCATGTGCTCAGCCTTCAGTAAACTCATCTGAAAATTTGAACAGTTGTAATATTACACTATGTATTCTAAAGCAATTTTTGACTTACTATGCAAGGCCACATTTTTATTACTTAAAACATCACTTAAAACAGAAAAAAAAACCAAAATATTTGGCTACCTGGTCTCTCTGTTGTTTTTCCTTCTCAAGTAATTCAAATCTTCTCTTTTTTGCAGCTTCCTGAAAAATAAGTATATATTAAAAATTTGTTTGTGAACACTATTTTCAGCAAACTTAGGTCAAGAAGGTTAGTACTCCAGGAGCAGGCCCAGGAAAGTAAAAATGAAGATGTTACAGAGTGTTTGAAGGAAAGAAATAAGGAGGAAAGGTTTGAAGGTTATATTTTCCATTTTAAAAATATTTTTGTTCTGGTGTTGTTTTTGATGTAGCTTGAAAACAGGCAGACAGGTGTCTTTATACCTCAAACATTTTCCTCCTTTCCTCCCCTGGATTCATTTTCTTCATTGGAATTGGATGGGCCTAGATAAAAGGTAAAACTAGAAATTAGTTAGGTCAGTGCATGGTACTTTCTAGATCCCAAAATAATAGGAATATCAAGACAAGATATGAGTGTGCAATAATTTAAAAATCCAGTATATTATATAATGCACCTTCATCTATTATTCAGAGCATTCCTGAAAAAGCAGATGCTACTAAGGTCTGTGGCGAGAGATATTGTAATTCTACATTTGGCTCTTGACAAGGAGTTCTACCTAGTCAAAGCAAAGGAGCGCAGAATTTTCAAAGCTCCTTTTAGGTTTTCCTATTAATTTCCCTTCTCTGGCAATGTCAGTGCCCATTGATTCTCTATGCTCTCCTCATTAACAAGCTGAAGGTCCCTGAAGATATCGATCAACGTGTTGGTTGGGAAAACTAGTTGGCTTCAAAGCTTCCAACTCCAGTGTTTGTTCAAACAATAATTAAAACTTAATTCTCATATAACAACAAAGCTAACTGATATGCAGGTTCAGTAGATGAACACCAGAGTTACAAACTGACTGGACAACCATAAACCTGTTTTGGATCCAGAAGTATGCAATCAGGCAACAGCAGAGGAAAAAAAGCAAAAGCAAATACAATGCAATATTGTATTAAATGTAAACTAAATGAAATGTAAACTATTAAAAAGTTTTAGGAAAGATTTTTTCAAGTTAAGAAAAATGCATCAAACACCAAAATAGTTAATTGAAGATGGTTAAAAGCTGCACTTTCTTCATACAGCTAAGAAACTTTACTATGAAGAAATCCATGTTCAATTATAAAAATTTGAATGAACATAACATTTTATTCAGTTGCAAACATTTCAGAGTTACAAATAACCTCCATTCATAAGGTGTTTGTAACTGAGGTTCTATTGTAATTAGAGACATTAAGTGCTCTGTTTGTTTTAAAGGGCCATGATTTTTTATATCATCTTCTCCCCGTGGCTCCCCCTGTTCAGGCAGGCAGATATTTAAAACATATATTTTGCCTGTTGCCTTGTTCAAGGACACAGTCAATCACTGAAAGAAACAGGATCGTGGCAGTTAGACTTATTGCAGGAGACATTGCTTTGAATTTGTTCACTTGTGTACACAGTGTAGTTTTTTTGCTTAACGTTTTATTTTCAACTGAAACTTGAATAGAATTAGTCTCGGTGTAAAGTTATGTAATAGCAGTTATCCATGTCCCCATTTAAGGGCAGCGTGAACATTCAACAGGATGGCCTTGCCAAATGTAGGTGTATTCTTCTGATCTCATTCCCCACACTATTGACAGTATTCCTCTCAACATATTTCTATTCTCCCTCTTCTTTTAAAATCCTTTATTAAGATCACAAATCCATTAAAATTTCAACACGCAAAATTTGATTTTGTCCACTAGGGTCCCATGATAATCCACTTTAAAAGATTGTGTGTTTCAAAGAATAATCAGTTGAAAGGACAGCCTAATAAACTTTCTACTCTTGTTTTGCCATCGTTTTGTTACACCCCTCCATACAAATGCAGGTGCTTTAAAAAAGGATCTACTCATTTAGAGGCATCTTCCTACTCCTTCTAGCTCAATTTCTGCATTCTCTGAAGAGTCCATTTCTTTATTGGGTATGTATTGTGCATTCATACAAAAAAATTGCTTAGATGTGCCATCTACCTATTAGATGTGCACTGTGGCTGTGTCTAGACTGGCCAGTTTTTCCAGAAAATTAGCAGCTTTTCCAGAAAAACTTGCCAGCTGTCTACACTGGCCGCTTGAATGTCTGCAAAAGCACTGACTTCCTACTGTAAGAAATCAGTGCTTCTTGCGGAAATACTATTCTGCTCCCGTTCAGGCAAAAGTCCCTTTTGCGCAAAGCTTTTGCGCAAAAGGAGACTGGCATGATTTTCCGCAAATGCTTTTAACAGAAAAGTTTTTCCATTAAAAGCATTTGTGGAAAAGCGCGTCTAGATTGGCACAGATGCTTTTCTGTAAAAAAGTGCTTTTGCAGAAAAGCGTCTGTGCCAATCTAGACGCTCTGTTCCGAAAATGCTTTTAACGGAAAACTTTTCCGTTAAAAGCATTTCTAGAAAATCATGCCAATCTAGACGCAGCCTGTATGTTTACGTCTGAAGGGGCTGAATACAAAACAAGTTAACTTGCTAATCAATAATGTATGTTTACGTCTGAAGGGGCTGAATATAAAACAAGTTAACTTGCTAATCAATAAGAAAGATCTCATCAAAATGGATCAACAAGAAAAATATCTAATAAGTAATAATACTAAGCACTTACACAGTGCTTTTCTAACAGCAAATCTCAAAGGGCCATGGAAAAGTTCAGTGTCATTATCCTCTTTTACAGATTAAGAAATGGAAGCACCAAGAATATTCTCAATAGTGACTATTAAAATGAGTTCTAAAGTCTATTCAAACCTCACTTGTAAATTATAGTATTCCTACGATTGCAACAGAGTGAGGTCACTGAAGTCCATTGAAGCTACAGGCAACGTAAGTAGCATTCCAAACCAAACAACTGATAGTCTCCCAAATTCAGCAATATCGGTTTATAAAATAAGAAATAAAACAAAACATGTATTTGTTTTACCTAAATGCAGCAATTTCCTGTGTAGATGTGTGTCAAAAAGATGTAATGAAAAACAACAAGATTTGGATATTAGTGGAATAGTATTTTTAAAAAGTTTAAGTAAAATAAATCAAATTAGTTAATTAAAATAAGCTTGTAGAATATGTACCTTCTTTATTACCATTCTTGTGGCCTCACCTGTCTACATTTAGCTAATGGCTTCTTTTCATGATTTTTTTTAGATGCATCACCAGATTTCTTGATCATTAAAGGCACTCCATATTTTGCAGCAGGTTTAGTAATTTTCTGAGCTGGCACAGCTGAAGCACAGATTTGTCCTTGAGCTGGTCTTTTTACTAAATGAGAAAGGACAGAAAACTGAATTACTGGTCTCATAATTTGGATATTGTCAGACTAATTTGGATATTGTAACATTTTTCTGTTTCAAGTTACCTTACCTGTTATCAAGACAAAAGATTCAGATTCAGAGTATTCATTTGATAAAGGGACACAACTTCACTCCAAGCCTTCACTAGACAACTAATGAAATGGCATCTTTTCCAGCTGAGATACTTCTCCAAAAAATAGTGAAAATCATCTCTCTCTGCAGAAGCAGAGAAAGAGACATTTCATCTACTCAACACTTCTGAATTAAGACATAAAGGTGGTTCAGTATTGTCTTCACAAGTCTTCCCCGCACTCAGTGTAATTTAAGTTATTTGAATAAGTAGATGCAACTGTATGAAGCCCATAGGGTTATCACTTAAACTGCTCTACAGAAGTTGGGTTTGCATGCAGTATTAATACTAGAATATATTTTAGAAAATGGACTATTTTGCCATCAGTCAAAATGTTTTGGTTGAAATGTCCGAAAAGAGATGTTACATGATGTGACAAAGCTCCTATGAAAACTTAGTGGCTCCTGCGCTTCCTGGTGGATTTGGTTGCCTCAGAGGCTCGCAGCAGCTCACAGTTTTAGGCACCACGCCTAGGGCTTTAGTTTGCTGTGGAGCAGAGTAATAGAGGGTAGACACTCACAGTTTTAGGCACCACGCCTGGGGCTTTAGTTTGCTGTGGAGCAGAATAATAGACGGTAGGAGGATAGGATTTGGCCATTAACACCTAACAATTTGTGATTGTCAACAGTGAGGTCATTTATGAATAGGCCTAATGCCCAGGAAGATCTAATATTTTCTAGTCATTATGGCAGGAAGTGGATCTGGAATGATGTTGTCTGCTCCACTTATTCCTGACCTCTATCACCAGAGAGTTTGGTACAGGATATGGAAACAAAAATTCCACTCTCTTGGAAAGGATGTAAGATTTGTATCAGATCATTTAGAAGTTGCTGGATTCTGCCATATGGTCTTGATCAGGTCCATGAGTACCCTGTTTATCAGGAGAGCAAGAATGATCAAGTTGATGCCTGGACAACGTCCAACAGCTTATGCTATCATGCCAAAACTACTTCCAGTAGCATCTCTGGAGAGTCTACAATCCTCTTAGACAGCTCTTGTAAATGTTTGAAACCCTGAGCCTCTGACTGGGCGGGGCTGATTAACCACCTGTGAAGCTATGCTGACGTGCTGCTTAGAGGAAAATACCACCTCCCTCTGCACACTGAGGATCTTATGGTGTGGTGACAATACACAGTCCATCGGTCCCAATAGGGCCCCTTATGAGGAGTCAGATATCCAGGGATGTCTTTACCACCCATGAGTTTGGAGTCTGAGATAGCATTGAGGTTGTTCTTCTGATCCCATTCTGGTGGTTGGCTGGACAGGAGAGGAGTGACAAAGAATACATTTCCCCTTCATCACCATCATCCTCATCATTGGAGGAAGGAGGAGCTAGTCTATATGATGATGTAAACTGGTGCAGTACTGTGCATGATGAAATATCACCACTGTCCAGGAAGAGAGATACCAGTACTGAAAATACTAACAAGTGTGTCAGAGAAATTCCTACAATGCAAAAAAACATTAGTACTGAGGGTGTTATTGGTACTATCAATGCCATTACTTCAGTTCCAGTGCCAATGATTGTGCACTAAGCACCATGGAAGCAGAAGCTGGTGCCACAGTGCAGTGCTGCTAAACTACTTGGTGTCTTATATTTGAGCAGCTCCTGTGGTTAAGTTGTCCGTTGCTGCTTCTCTCTCAGCCTGCCCATGTAGGGTCGTTGACTTGCACATTACACCTGTAGTACGAGAGGGTCCCACCACCTCTTAGTTAGTTGGACTCCATGGAGCTGGCACCAGTGGTGTCCAATAGGTTTTGGATTGTCTCTTTTTGGCAGATTCCCAGGAAGGGGAGATCATCACTTATTTCTTCACTACCTTTCTGGAGTAGTGCACTTTCCTATAGATGGTAGTGGAGAATGCCTGTCAGCATGTACTCCTGGAGACCAGTGCCCAAGAAACGTCCATGATCCTGCATTGGATGCTGGGTGCAGAGACTTCTCCATTAAAAAGAGTTTTAACTGAAAATACTTCACTTTCCTGGCTCAGGTCTTTAGATTATGGCCATGAGAGCACTTGTGGTACGTGTGCACTGCTGAGACAGAAACACTGCAAGTATCCGTCAGAGACCAGGACTAACAACCAGGAAGTGAAGCAGTGCTTAAAACCAAGGAGCTAGGCACACCTCTCAGAACAGGTTATTTACACTATGCTAACGGATATAATCATGTTTTAAACAAAGTTACAAGAAAAAATAAACAGGGAAGACTATTCACTATCTATACTAGATTATATAACTCCCAATCTAGATTAGTTCTTAAATTAAAGGTAAACTCAGATGAACTGCTGTTGCTCCATTTCAAGCCAGGGGCAGTAGTAAAGAAATAGAGATGGTTGGTTGCACAGTGCTACATAACTTCCAGAAATTGTGCAAGTTGGGGACAGCACTATGCGATGCTGAAATTCTCTGACTGCAGGTGCAGGGACGCAAATTCACCTGAAGTGGAGCATGCTAAGCGACACTCTTGAAAGAAATCTCATTTTTTAACTGTATAATGAGAGCCAGAAGAGAAGTTTGTCAGGTCCTTACTCTGGAACATAGCTCAAGATCAAAGCTGCTACATCTTTGAGATCATGCATGTCCATACCAGGCAGAAGTCGGTGGCCCACACGATCCAATCCTAAATGGCCACTGAGAGAAGTCTGTATGCTTTATTGAGAGTGATAAGCATCAGATGCATGGCAATTGCTAATAAACATAAATTAACAATATTACCATGTCAAGGCTTGTTCACTGGGAAAAGGCCCTGCTAATCCATAAAGGGCCACTGGACCCAGGGAAGGGGGAAATACCCTAAATTGTTTAGGCAATAGTGCTGTACCAGAGAAACTAGAGGGTTTCTCTTAATGCTGAAGTGATTCCTCATGTGAAGAGAGTGAGAAAGGAGCTGTAAGATGAAGTCAAGTCACTACTGCATGAAAACCAATACAAATTGAAGTTGTAAGACAAAAAGCAATTGGGAGAAATTGAACCAGCAACTTCTTTTGCCATCAGAGGTAAAAATTCTGCTGTCATGAGTTAAAAAGGGCTCAAGGCGTGACTCTCCTGAACAATACTGGACCCCCTTCACAATTCACAAGTGAACAGTGTTACCAATTTGTTATGAGTGCGGCGAGAATCTGGGCAACAGAAATATTAATTAATCCCTTGACTGATGTATTAGCAATCTGCTTACTTTTGAAAGTAACATGGCAAGAGTAAAATGTACCTTTTCAATGTTAAAAGCTCCTTTACAGTTTAAATGTGTATCATTTCTAGGTAACACCTACATACTTTACTTGAAAATATTTAATTATTTCAAGATTGGTTTTGATATTAGATCAAAAGAAATTCCATATCTCAACACAATCTATCCTGCTGCAACTGAAGGTAACTGCAGAGCACTTGTGCATATTTACCTGGTGAAGCATGGGCGCCAAACTTGTGGAACACTTTGTGACTGAATTCATCTGCAATAAGCTAAACATAAACAAACAAAGTTATTTTACTAGCTACATTTTTTTATGCATGCATCTGCTAATGATTAAAGTGTTTCAGAAGTCTATATCTACACTCTCCTTACATAAATGAAAAAAAAACCAAACAAACCAGGGATAAAGCCTTCTTAGGAAAAAAAGTAGCATGAAAATAAGAGTCATAATTAAACTATTCACAAATGTTGGCTTTAACCCCGATGAAACTTGCACATATACCTAATGTTAATAAATTTGAGATGTTCCACTGAAGTTAAGAGAGTTGCAACCATGTCTCCTGAAAATACTTTCAGAAGATCTCAGAGTATTTTAAAAAAAAAAAAAAAAAAAACTGTTACCTACATACCTCTAGTAACTTGTTCCTCAAGAGGTGTTGCTCATGTCCATTCCAATAGGCGTGTGTGCATGCCACATGCATTATTATTGGAAAGTTGTCCCCAGTGGTACCTGTCAAGTCTGCTGTGGAGCCCCTTGGATTGCTGCCTTCGTGGACAAGTCCCTGCCGACCTGCTGCCTGCTCACTTCCTTCTTGTGGTACTATTCCGACGGAGGGGGAAGAGGATGGGATTTAGAATGGACATGAGCAACAAATCTCAGAGAACAGTTACAAGAGGTAGGTAACCATTTCTTCTTATCTGCTTGATCATGTCCATTCTTGTAGGTGACACTCAAACAGTTTCTATGGAGTGGAGGGAGGTGGTGCTGATTGCAGAATCACCCTGCCAAAATTTGTTATCCTTTGCTGTTGGGTAATGTAGTGCAATGTAAAGGTATGAATGGATGACCACGTTTGCTGTCCTACATACGCCTTGAATAGTGACCTGTTCTCTGGTGGCATGAGCTGTCAAGTGCTAGAGCTGGAACCTTAGCCAGACTAACAGGTCCTGAGGTAGGAAGTGATCCATGACAAAATATGCTGGGATGAGATGGGGAGCCCTTTCAGCCTCTTGGCTATAGCAATAAAGAGCCATGGCGACTTACAAAATGGCTTTGTGAGTTAAATGTAGAAGTCTAAGGCACATCTGACTTCCAAGGAGTGGAAAGCTCACTCCTTATTGCTGGTGTGGGGTTTTAGAAAACTGGCAGAAAGTTATCCTGGTTCACGTGAAAGTGTAAGATTACCAGCTCAGGTAGGAATGCTGGATGTGGATGCAGTGATACTTTGTCTTTATACAAGGCTGCATATGGGAGTTTGGAGGTGATGGCTCTGAGACCTGTCTGGCTGAGATTATGGCCACTAGAAAAGCCACATAAGGAGCATGTGGCCACTAGAAAAGCCACATAAGGAGCAGATCACTAGGAGCAGTCCCCTGAGTTTGGAAAAGATCAGGTTAAGATCCCACTATGGGCCAAGGTGTCCGAGTTGGTGATATAGTGTGTCCAAGCCCTTTAAAAAAAGTGCTCCACCAGGGGGTTGCCAAAGATCAATCTGTCTCCCATACCTGTGTGGAAGGCTGAAATGTCCACCAGGTGCACCCTGATAGATGATACATTTAAAACTCTTGGAGTTGGCTGTAAGAAGTAGTTGAGCACAGTGTGAACATGGACCTGTCGTGTGGAAATACCTTTTTGGAAGGACCAAACTGAGAAACACTTCCACTTTGCTAGGTATACTGAGTGACCAGAGGACTTCCAGCTTCCCAAGTCTTAATACTGCAGCTTAAATTGATTCAACCATGGAGTTTTCATGCCGTGAGAAGGAGGTACTTCAGGTTGGGGTGTTGTAGTTGGTTCTGGTCATGGTGTGATGAGTCTTGTTCCCTCAAATTTTTTTCTATCAGTGTCCGTCTGCTATGTACATTGGACAAACGTCTCAGACACTTCGCCAAAGAATCAATGCCCACAAAACAGACATTAGACAGGATCACAAAGAAAAAACAGTTGCTTGTCATTTCAACCAGAAAGGACACAGTCTCAATGACCTGCTAACCTGCATCCTACTTCAGAAGACATTCAAATCTGCACTTGAAAGGGAATCCTCTGAACTGGCATTCATGCTAAAATTCGACACTCTCCGCACGGGACTTAACAAAGACCCCAGCTATCTTACACATTACAAAGATAGCTTCCCCAATCATCACCTCTAATACTATTAACTCACAGACATTTCCCCTTCCCCACCTCTAATATCATTAACTCACTGGCATTCACCTTCCTTCCCTGCCCCACTACATCCTTTGTATCCTTTGGTATATATGGTTGTGACTGTTTTCTTCCATTATTTGATCTGAGGAAGTGGGTCTGGCCCACGAAAGCTCATCATCTAATAAACCATCTTGTTAGTCTTTAAAGTGCTACATAGTCCTGTATTTTGTTTCTGTGTAGTAACTGACATTCTTTGAGATGAGTGTTCCTATGAGGTGCTACACATCAGGTCAGTGCACTGCCGCTGAGCCTTCAATCGGAGTTTTCAGAATGCAGCATCCCTGGGGTTGTGCATGTGTGTGTCTGCAGCTGTATGCTCTTAGTTTGCAGGCATCACATATGCACAGGTCCCCTCACCCAGTTCCTTCTCTACCCCAGAATGAAACCTCTTACGGAGGCCAGATTTCCAAAGTAGAGAGGAAGAAGGGAGGGTAGTGGAGCACCCATAGAGACACTCATCTTGAAAAACTTGCACAGGTGAGTAACTCCAACTTCTTCTGGAGATATCACCATGCATGCTCCACATCAGGTTAGTACAAAGCTATATCTGTTTAAGGAGATAGGGACTTCAAGATCAGGCATGAATGTGGTAGACAGGAACAACCTGCTGAATTTTTGCTTGGATAAGGGTCCTTGTGTAAGCACACAGTGTTTTGCACAAGTGTGGTATGATGACCATGCAGCAGCTATGCAAATATCCATGATGGGAACCTTATGGAAGAATGCTATTGAGGTGGACATGACTCTAGTGGAATGTGCTCATATGTTGTTACAAGGAACCTCCTCTAACAAAGCCTGATACAGCCCGAAATGCAGTGCGAGAGCCTCCGAGAAGAAATGGGTTGACTCTTACTGTGGTTTCCTATAGACAGAAACAATCTTGGAGAGGATCTGAACAGTCTAGTGCATAGTACTCTGCATAAGTCAAGCGAAAGTAAAAGCAAAGTACTCTGCATAAGTCAAGCATGTGCATCTTAGATTCGAATGAGTTCACATGTGGCTTGGGGAAGAAGGTGTACAGTCTGATTGAGTTGGAGGAATGACCTTGTCTTGGAGATGGTACGTTAGGTAACATTCTCTTCGAAAAAGGTGGTATACAGGGAGTCTGCCATCAAAGCTGCAATTTCTCCCACCCACCTAGACAATGTAATGGCTATGAGAAAAGTATTCATAGAGAAGCGCAAAAGAGAAGCAGCCATTGGGTCAAATGGAGATAGAGTAAGAGTGTACAAACCGAGATGTAAGTCCTAAGGGTCCACTGGTGGGGTGATAAAGTGCTTGTAGGCCTTTCAAAAACCTCTTAGTAACGGTATGTGCAAATATTGACAAGTCATCTATATTGAGGTGCAAGGTTGTTGTAGCAGCAAGGTGAACCTTGATGGAACTCATGCCAATGCTCGCTTGTTTCAAGCGCAGGAAGTCATTGAGTATGAAGAGTAATGAAAATGTAGAGGGGGCAACTTGATGGTCTAAGCACCATACTGAGAATCTCTTCCATTTTTTAAGGTGAGTCTTACAGGTGTTCTGCACCCTACTGTGCAACAGAACTCTTTGGACTGTTGTGAACACTCTAGTTCTTATGCAGAAAACCATTCAGGAGCCAAGCTTTCAGATGCAGCATGTGAAGGTTTGGATGACTGGTCTGGATTCTGGCCTGGAAGAAGAGATTTGGTTAGGAAATTGGTGGTATGCAGAACCATCCTAGTTAGGAAGGGAAATCAATGTTGTTGCAGCCACAATGGCGCTATGAGAATTAGGCATGCTTTGTCCTTCCTTGCCTTGTGGACAACCCGAAAGGCATAAAGAAGAGGGGATGACCTGCTGATTAGGAAGGCATCTCCCACGGAGCCTTTCCTCATGTCGACTCTTGAGCAGAATTGGTGACACTTTTTGTTGGATTGTGTGGCGAATAGATCTATGGTGGAGTGACTCCGCTGATGAAAAATCCATGACAAGATATCTGGGTTGAATTCCCTCTTGTGGTTGGTGGGAAGGACCCAGCTGAGGGCATCGGTAGTCATATTGAGGGTGCCTGGAAAGGTATAGCCATGGAATTAAGAAGAATCTGGATAATGGATGTACATTGGGCTTGTAAACTGTTCTGAGCCAGCCCTGTAGACATTTCATATGGAGGGAGCATTGTTGAAAACAAAATTGCACGCTGCCATGTGGCCAGGAGCTGGAAGCAGTCATGTGCTGTCCTTCTGGGAATGGATTGCAACACTTTTACCAAGGCCCCTATTTTGTTGAAACAGTCTGTGGGAAGAAAAGCAATGGCACTTGTAAAACTGAGACAGGTCCCTATGAATTGAATCTTCTGAGTAGTGGTTAATGTTGATTTGGTTTCATTTATTTGCAGGCTAAGTGTTGGAATAAATGCCTGGTGATTGATAGCGAGTGACGTGAGTAGTCTTCAGAGCATACTTTGACAAGGCTGTTGTCCAGGTAAGGAAATAGATGGCATATCATGACACTTTGTTTTTGCAGGTGACTGAAAATCTTTGAAGAAACTTTCAGAACTGTACAAAGGCCAAATGGTAGAACTTTGTATTGGTAGTGCTGTGTACCTAAAACAAATCAGAGAAAATGTCTATGAGCTAGATGGATGGAAATATGAAAATATGCAAGTCAAGAGAGGAAAACCAATTGCCCTGTTCCAACACTGGTATAAAGATAGCAAATGTCACGATCTTGAATTTCTGCTTTTTAACTAATTTGTTCAGTGCTCACAAATCCAAGATGGGTATCCATCCTCCCCCGACTTCTTCTCCGTGAAGAAATAATGTGAACAACCACCTTTTCTCCAAAATTGTATTGGGACTATTTCAATCACGCCTAGGT